CAGGGAAGCATATACCTCCTTAGACGGCCACCAGGGAGAATATACCTCCCTGAGCAGAAATCCACCAGGAGCACTATACCTCTCCAGAAGGCCACCAGAGGGGTATATTCCTCCCCCAGACGGCTACCAGAGAGATATATACTTCCCTGGATGACACCCAGGGGGTTATACCATCCCAGACGGCTTCCAAGGAGCTATATTTGTCCCCAAATGGCTACCAGGGGGGTATATACTTGCCCAGACGGCTACCAGGGGTCATATACCTCCCTGGGCGGCCATCAAGGGCATATATCTCCCTAGATGGCCACCAGGAGATATATCCCTTCCCAGCCGGCAAACAGGGGTGGAGGGGCATATACCTCCCCAGCCCGCCTCTAGGGGGCATAAACCTCCCCAGACGGTTACCAGGGGGATATATACCTCCCCAGATGGCTACCATCTGCTTTTTTTCGCAGGGATATTCCTGCGCGGGCCCCTAAGCCTGTGGCTGGCCCACTAAGTGTTGCTTATTTCTGTTTTACTTGGGCGGAGTATGAGTATTTATGACTCGTATGGTCGCTTCAGTAAGATTTTGCCATATGTGTTTAACAACTTCTGCTCTGTTGAATCTAAGTTGAAATCTTAATGGGTTTGTAACTGTGCACTGTGTTAGATAATGTTCCAATGGTCTGTCGGGCATTTCTCCACAGTGTTGACATTTCCTCTCATCTTCCGGAACCTCTAAGCCTATTTCCCATGCACATGGGTATCCTAGCCTGATGCGATGTAAGTGTACTTCTGTTGCTTTACTGCTCCCTTTCATCAAACTAAGTGGTTCGTAGTTGGTTGAATTGTTGTACCAACCTGCAGATCCTGATGTTGTAACTGATGTGTTGTGGATCACTGTACATCTTTTGCATTGCTATGTTTCTAATTACTTTCTTAATCTGTGATAGACTCTGTGGTATGTAAATGGCTACATTTCTTCTCTTAATTGCAAGTTTTGCACCTTCGTCTGCAATGTCATTTCCTATTATTCCCACATGACTTGGCACCCAGTTGATAAGTACCCGTCGGCCTTGTCGTTTGAGTGTTTGCATTAATGATATGACATTTGTGATCAGATGTATGTTATCACATATGTGTTCTTGTAGCAATGTTTCAATGGCGGTTCTCGAATCTGTATGTATGATAACATGTTATCGGTGTTCAGCAAGAGCATGTTCCAAAGCCTTTTGAATGGCTAGCATCTCTGTTTGTAAAGTCGAACACCCATTTGAGAACCTCCAACTATTTACAGAGTTTCCTGCTTTAACTGCAGCTCCGGTTTCTTGTCCCTGCTGGTCTACTGATCCATCTGTGAAGTAAGTGAAGCTGTCGGATGCCATGTTTGCTTCTATATGCATCTGTGCAATGTTACGTAGCAGATGAGGATTTGTCTGGTTCTTTTTTCCTTCAATAACAATAATTTTAAAGTCTGCTGGCAGAGATTCCCAAGGGGCTTGCATAACAAAGTCTGCATGTATTTCGTCGACACCCCTCTCAGTGACTGTGTTTGTTATATCGAATGTATTGATGGTGTTTATTGCACAATGGGTCCACCTGTTGCTATTGGAGGCTCTTCTATCCAGAGTTAGTGCTCCAGTGATTATATCTTTAAGAGAACTGATTTTAGCTGATAGCAATAAATAGGTACCTGGGAGTTAGACAGGTGCTATGGGCTGCTTCCTGGGTGTGTGTGTGTGTACTCACCTAGTTGTGCTAGCGGGGTTTGAGCTTTGGCTCTTTGGTCCCGCCTCTCAACTATCAATCAAGCGGTGTACAGATTCCTGAGCTTGTTGTGCTCTATCAAATCTATATATGGAACTGTATATTGATTCCGCCTCTCCCACAATTCTACCTAATGCATTCCATTTACTAACTACTCTGACACTGAAACAATTCTTTCTAATGTCTCTGTGGCTTATCTAGGAACTATGTTTTCACATGTGTCCCCTTGTTCTTATTCAACCCGTGGTAAAGAGTTTGTCTTTGTCAACCCTGTCAATTCCCCTGAGAATTTTGTAGGTGGTTATCATGTCTTGCCTTACTCTTCTGCTTTCAAGGGATGTGAGGTTCAACTCCCTTAGCCTTTCCTCGTTGGTCATACCTCTCAGTTCTGGGACCAGTCTGGTGACATACTTCTGAATCTTCTCTAACTTTGTCTTCTGTTTAACTAAGTATGGGCTCAAGGCTGGAGCTGCATACTCCAGGATTGGTCTTACATAAGTGGTATACTTAGGTCTTAGGTGTGTGTGTGTGTACTCACCTAACTGTACTCACCTAATTGTGCTTGCGGAGGCTGAGCTCTGGCTCTTTGGTCCCGCCTCTCAACTGCCAATCAACTGATGTAAGAGTCCTGAGCCTACTGGGCTCTATCATATCTACATTTGAAACTGTGTAAGGAGTCTGCCTGCACCACATCACTGCCTAATGCATTCCATCTGTTGTATGTGTGTGTGTGTGTGTGTGTGTGTGTGTGTGTGTGTGTGTGTGTGTGTGTGTGTGTGTGTGTGTGTGTGTGTGTGTGTGTATTACAGTACATGAAGTAGACGTAATATAGGAAAAATAAAATGGGTTAGAAAGGCGGGGTCCAAGAGCTAATAGCTCGATTCTGCAGATACAAATAATAAATACAAATAGTAAACACACACACACACACACACACACATACACACACACACACACACACACACACACACTCACCACAAAAAACAATATTCACTTATCTATCAAGAGCAGATAAACCACACTTGAAAGAATGAAATGAACGCAAGAGCTCTTTCAACTCTCTCGGGTTGAAAGTTAGTAGCAGAATAACTGCCAAGGAATTGATTGATTGCTGAAGCCACCCAAGAGGTGGCACGGGCATGAATAGCCCGTAATGCGAAGGTAGCTGTTGCAACAGTTAGATAGGACCAGCCTATGAGACCGGAAGCCTGAGAATTATCACATATTTCCAACGTTTCCTCTTGTGTCCGGGAGTTGGAAAAAGAAAAAAACAGACACAGAGAGGTCAAGCTAGAGGTCGAGAGGTCAAGATAGAGGTCGAGAGGTCAAGATAGAGGTCGAGAGGTCAAGATAGAGGTCGAGAGGTCAAGATAGAGGTCGAGAGGTCAAGATAGAGGTTGAGAGAACATGTAGGGTCAGTAAAACAGCAAAAGTCAAAACAGTTAGGTCTACCTAACAGCAAAAGTCACAAAATTCAGGCCAGACGAATTACGTGAAGCTATTGAGCCTGAAAGTATGTACAAGAGGGTATGGGGTAGAGAGGAGATGGTATCCTACCTTAAACTTTCGTGCAATATTGGAATTCAGGACAGGCTCCAGTCGGAGCCACCCAGGGCCATCATTTAAGGCATCAGGATAGTTACAGTTTAAGGAAGAGTCAATGAAATTTAGTTTAACAAAACCACTGCAACAGGATTTTTGATACACTCCAATCCGTGACGTGATCGGGAAAGGAGGAACTATGCGCTAGATTGTTGTGCAGGCCTAACTGCATATTTATGTAGGGAAATACGGGTATCAAGATTTTTGCCCATCTGTGCGACGGATATAAAATCACAATCCTCGCATGTGACCGAATGCACACATTAATTAAAATGGATTTTACCGTAGTATTGTTTTGGAAAACCAGGTTGACATTAAAAGTTTTGAAAACCCAGAAAACTTTAAAAAATTCTTCAAAGTACAATAACAAAAAGTGAGTTTTTGTTTTGTTTGGGTTAAGTTCAGCCTCAGGTATGGGATTATAAAATATATGATTTGCCTCTCCCAGTGAAGAGTTCAAAACAAATTTTGGTTATTGCATCTTCACCCCAATTTTATATATTTTGCTCATTACTTCATCAATAAATTCTGTGGTACAAACTTGCAAGGCTCTGAGAAACATCGAGGATAACACCGAATTTTCACATTACATAAAATAAATCACATTAAGAATCTTTAATGTGATGTTTGGAAAATCATACATATACGAGCACACACATTGGAAGTTACCTGTAAACGTCAAACTGAAAAGATCTGTTTATCTTATAAATTCTAATATGCAAAAAAAGCAAAACTACATTTCCCTCATTCTCAATCATAAATTTGATGAAGAAACAAGGGAATTAAGTTGACTAAGAAACTTGGACTGATCGCGATCACTGGATCACAAACTCTGAATTGCATCGACATATCTATACCACACCATGTAAGGGGGTAAATTCTATGGTTACATTTTTGCTTAAAAATTACATATAGAAATTGCCCAATGTTGCACTAAATAGGGAGCCTAAGCCTAGTGCTGCACTACATAAGGGAGCCTAAGTCCAGTACTGTGCTACATATGGAACCTAATCCAAGTGCTGCGTTATGCAATGCTCCTAAGACCAGTGCGGTGCTAGACAATGCTCCTAAGCCCAGTGCAGCGTTAGACAATGCTCCTATGCCCAGTGCAACGTTAGACAATGCTCCTGAGCCCAGTGCTGCGCTACGCATAAGCCTCAGCCCAGCGTCATATGAGCGGGCTTCGATCAGAGTGTAATAACTCACTTTCTATCAATAGTGTTGACGCCACACAAATAAATAACAAAATAAGCACATTTAAGCAGTAAAGTCGTTCATGATGAATACGACAATATCGAGCTACAGCTCCTGGCCTCCAGCACCCCCCTCTCGTCGTCTGCGGAAATAATCTCTATCAACTTACCTTTGGCGTTGAGCTCGCTGCCTTATCTTATGGTGCCGAAGACTCGATGGAAGACCTAATCTCTCTCTCTCTCTCTCTCTCTCTCTCTCTCTCTCTCTCTCTCTCTCTCTCTCTCTCTCTCTCTCTCTCTCTCTCTCTCTCTCTCTCTCTCTCTCTCTCTCTCTCTCAGAACTCGCTATTTACCAACCCAATAGGCTCTGTAGTAGCCAAACGAGAGACTCTTGCCTCCAAAGTTGCTATACCAGCTCACCCTTAAACTCAAAAATCCCCACTCAAGTGTCCTTACCTTCGTAGTCCTTTTCTTGCATTTGTCGGAGTTCGCAAAAATGTTGAGAGCAGTCGAGCCAGGCGGCAAGGGACACTGGTCGATGTCGACTCGTCTGAGGTCGATGTCGATGCCGCTCGTGCCCCTGCAAGGAGATCGATAGTGGTCACTTGTGACGCCGCTAGCTAGCTGGGTTTCACGTGGTGTTGGGGATCGAGGTTGGTGGGGGAATATATGCACTGTATGTGGTTGGTAGATGGTGTTGAGTTGTACCTGGGTGGAAGGTGGGGATATGTTCTGCATGGATAGTAGGACGACACAGTGTGGTATACGGGAATAGTCGATTTGTGTTGCGGATAGATGGTGTGAAAATGTTGATTGATAATGGTAGTTACCACACACACACACACACATACACACAAACACACACACACAAACACACACATACACACATACAAACACACGGTGTTAGACGCTGCCAATAGATGGTGTTAGATAGTGAAGCTATAGTATGTTAGTGATGGTAGGAAGACCGTGCTGCTGGGTAACAGAGGGTGCTATTGCTAGTACTGCTTACTGTTGCTTGTAGTGGTTACTGGTGCTAGTAGTGCTTACTGGTGCTAGTAGTGGTTACTGGTGCTAGTAGTGGTTACTGGAGCTAGTAGTGGTTACTGTTGCTTGTAGTGCTTACTGGTGCTAGTAGTGCTTACTGGTGCTAGTAGTGGTTACTGGTGCTAGTAGTGGTTACTGGTGCTAGTAGTGGTTACTGTTGCTTGTAGTGCTTACTGGTGCTAGTAGTGGTTACTGGTGCTAGTAGTGGTTACTGGTGCTAGTAGTGGTTACTGTTGCTTGTAGTGGTTACTGGTGCTAGTAGTGGTTACTGTTGCTTGTAGTGGTTACTGGTGCTAGTAGTGCTTACTGGTGCTAGTAGTGGTTACTGGTGCTAGTAGTGGTTACTGGTGCTAGTAGTGGTTACTGGTGCTAGTAGTGGTTACTGTTGCTTGTAGTGGTTACTGGTGCTAGTAGTGCTTACTGGTGCTAGTAGTGGTTACTGGTGCTAGTAGTGGTTACTGGTGCTAGTAGTGGTTACTGGTGCTAGTAGTGGTTACTGGTGCTAGTAGTGGTTACTGGTGCTAGTAGTGGTTACTGGTGCTAGTAGTGCTTACTGGTGCTAGTAGTGCTTACTGGTGCTAGTAGTGCTTACTGGTGCTAGTAGTGCTTACTGGTGCTAGTAGTGTTTACTGGTGCTAGTAGTGTTTACTGTTGTTAGTTGTGCATACTGTTGCTAGTAGTGCTTAATAGTGCTAGTAGTGCTTACTAGTGCTAGTAGAGCTTACTGGTGCTAGTAGAGATTACTGGTGCTAGTAGTGCTTACTGGTGCTAGTAGTGCTTACTGGTGCTAGTAGTGCTTACTGGTGCTAGTAGAGGCTACTGGTGCTAGTAGTGCTTACTGGTGCTAGTAGTGCTTACTGGTGCTAATAGAAGCTACTAGTACTAGTAGAGGCTACTGATGCTAGTTGTGCTTACTGGTGCTAGTAGAGCTAACTGTTGCTAGTAGTGTTTACTGTTGTTAGTTGTACATACTGTTGCTAGTAGTGCTTAATAGTGCTAGTAGTGCTTACTAGTGCTAGTAGTGCTTAATAGTGCTAGTAGTACTTACTAGTGCTAGTAGAGCTTACTGTTGCTAGTAGAGCTTACTGGTGCTAGTAGAGGCTACTGGTGCTAGTTGAGGCTACTGTTGCTAGTAGAGGCTACTGGTGCTAGCAGAGGCTACTTGTGTTGTAGAGGCTACTGGTGCTAGTAGAGGCTACTGGTGCTAGTAGAGGCTACTGGTGCTAGTAGAGGCTACTGGTGCTAGTAGTGCTTACTGGTGCTAGTAGAGGCTACTGGTGCTAGTAGAGGCTACTGGCGCTAGTAGAGGCTACTGGTGCTAGTAGAGGCTACTGTTACTAGTAAAGGCTACTGGTGCTAGTAGAGGCTACTGGTGCTAGTAGAGGCAACTGTTGCTAGTAGAGGCTACTGGTGCTAGTAGAGGCTACTGGTGCTAGTAGAGGCAACTGTTTCTAGTAGAGGCTACTGGTGCTAGTAGAGGCTACTGGTGCTAGTAGAGGCTACTGGTGCTAGTAGAGGCAACTGTTGCTAGTAGAGGCTACTGGTGCTAGTAGAGGCTACTGTTGCTAGTAGAGGCTACTGGTGCTAATAGAGGCTACTGGTGCTAGTAGAGCTTACTGGTGCTAGTAGAGGCTACTGGTGCTAGTAGAGGCTACTGGTGCTAGTAGAGGCTACTGGTGCTAGTAGAGCTTACTGGTGCTAGTAGAGGCTACTGGTGCTAGTAGAGCTTACTGGTGCTAGTAGAGGCTACTGGTGCTAGTAGAGCTTACTGGTGCTAGTAGAGCTTACTGGTGCTAGTAGAGGCTCCTGGTGCTAGTAGAGCTTACTGGTGCTAGTAGAGCTTACTGGTGCTAGTAGAGGCTACTGGTGCTAGTAGAGCTTACTGGTGCTAGTAGAGCTTACTGGTGCTAGTAGAGGCTACTGGTGCTAGTAGAGGCTACTGGTGCTAGTAGAGGCTACAGGTGCTAGTAGAGACTACTGATGCTATTAGAGGCTACTGGTGCTAGTAGAGGCTACTGGTGCTAGTAGAGGTTACTGGTGCTAGTAGAGGCTACTGGTGCTAGTAGAGCTTACTGGTGCTAGTAGAGGCTACTGGTGCTAGTAGAGGCTACTGGTGCTAGTAGAGGCTACTGGTGCTAGTAGAGCTTACTGGTGCTAGTAGAGCTTACTGGTGCTAGTAGAGGTTACTGGTGCTAGTAGAGGTTACTGGTGATAGTAGAGCTTACTGGTGCTAGTAGAGGCTACTGGTGCTAGTAGAGGCTACTGGTGCTAGTAGAGGCTACTGGTGCCAGTAGAGGCTACTGGTGCTAGTAGAGGCTACTGGTGCTAGTAGAGGCTACTGGTGCTAGTAGAGGCTACTGGTGCTGGTAGAGGCTACTGGTGCTAGTAGAGGCTACTGGTGGTAGTAAAAGCTACTGGTGCTAGTAGAGGCTACTGGTGCTAGTAAAAGCTACTGGTGCTAGTAGAGGCTACTGGTGCTAGTAGAGGCTACTGGTGCTAGTAGAGGCTACTGGTGCCAGTAGAGGCTTCTGGTACTAGTAGAGGCTACTGCTGCTAGTATAGGCTACTGGTGCTAGTAAAAGCTACTGGTACTAGTAGAGGCTACTGGTGCTAGTAGAGGCTACTGGTGCTAGTAGAGGCTACTGGTGCTTGTAGAGGCTGGTGTAAATAGTTATGCGAGAGATCAGGAGACTGAATAGTTAGCAATATTTTTGTTGCAATAATAATAAAGTGTCCATGCAACAAAGTCAAGTGGATTTAACGATTACGTTCAACAACCTTTGCAATAAATCCATAAATGCCATACAACAGAGGGCCCTTGGACAAATTGCTAACTGTAGGACATTGTAGGCGATTATAAACTGTGATCGAATGCCCACTATTTCCATGTTAATAAATTTTGATCTGATTTATTGCCGATAAAATAATTATTAACTGTTTTATCAGTTATTTTTTATTATTATTGTTTTCTGCCCAGTTCACAAAATTTGAGATATATGTTTAAGGTTTGTGAAGCTGATATTGAGCAAGTAAAATAGCTCTCATCCCTAATGGTTAGAATATATTGACGAAATAAGAAATCCAATTCGCCAGTGCTCAGTATTTGATTAACATGAAGTATTTGACATTCACAAACATGCTCAGCGATGCTCTTTTATTTCTCTTCAGGTGTTGCACGTGTGTTGAAATAGCAAATATCTGTATTAGCCTCGTGAAAGACCTAGATAATAGTCCTCAAATACTTTTTCCCCTGAATGAAGTTCATTAAATGCAGTAAATATCCACGGAAAATACATGTTTAAACTTTTTAGAAAAATGTGAGAAACTTCATACGCAGAGTGCGAGAAATTTAGCCCTTAAATTGGAGAGTCAAAATTATATAAATAATGTATTAATTGTTCTAGAAGGTGGAGAGAAAATGGGAAAGTTTTGATTAGTAATATTAATTTAGTATTGTAATAATAAATAGCGCAAATGTATGTCTCTTCGAGGATGAAGATCAAATCCGTGGGGACTAGCTTCATGCACTTTTTCCTGTAATTTCTATGGGCACGTGCCCAACATGGCTGGGACGGGAGAAGAATATCGAAGAAAGAGGTGTCAATGTACCAATCTTAACACCTCGTGAAATGTTGTAATATTATTGAAGACTCAATATTATTTTGCAATAATATTGACTTATTTATTACGACTCTGACTTATTTATTTTTTATTTTTGTCAATTTGTAAAACGTTATTCGCTCATCACGACATAATTTTTAGTTAATATTTTAACTACCATATTTTGCCTGTAATTAGCTTAAATAAAAAAATGCCCTACGCTAAAGCAGGTGGAGGACGCTTGGAGGCTGGGAGAGGGAGAGGGAGAGAGAGAGGAAGAGGAAGAGGGAGAGGGAGAGGGAGAGGGTTGGGGGGGGGGAGGATATGTATTGGAGTAGAGTCTGAGATCTGAGCAAATTTTCATCAGCGAACATCTTTGCTAATCTAAATAAATAAAACCCAACACAACTCAACCCAGGTTAAGTGAGAGACAGATATGAAAAGAAAAAATTAAAGAGAGATGAAAGGATTGAGAAAATGAGAGAGAGAGAGAGAGAGAGAGAGAGAGAGAGAGAGAGAGAGAGAGAGAGAGAGAGAGAGAGAGAGAGAGAGAGAGAGAGAGAGAGAGAGAGAGAGAAAGAGAGAGAGAGAAAGAGAGAGAGAGAAAGAGAGAGAGAGAGAGAAAGAGAGAGAGAGAGAAAGAGAGAGAGAGAGAGAGAGAGAGAGAGAGAGAGAGAGAGAGAGAGAGAGAGAGAGAGAGAGAGAGAGAGAGAAGGCACGAAAGAGAGAGATCACGACTTCAAAGAGAGAGCACAACTTTCTTTTTTGTTAGAAACTCTCACCAAAAAAATTGAAAGGGATATGAGAGAGGGATAAGCACCTAATTGTGCTTGCGAGGGTTGAGCTCTGCTCTTTCGGCCCGCCTTTCAACTGTTAATCAATCAACTGTCACTAACTACTAACTTTTTTCACACATACACACATCCAGGAAGC